AAAAAAGGCAGGTAACAAATATACTGTATAAAGGGCAGGTGAAATATATACTTACAAAGAAAACAAAACTAGTTAGAGAAGCTGGTGAGCAATTTGAAGTAGGAAGACTTTGATAATAATGTAGTAATTTATAGATTATATTGAATCGAAAATCAGATATTAATCAATTAATGCCCATGAAAGAAAGAACAGTTAATTTGTAGCTCAACGAGTAGTAGAGCATTTTGATCAAGCCAAAAGAGAATATGAACTTACAAAATAAATAATTGGGTGAAAAAATGTACATTCCAGGTGCTCGAGTACAAGATGTAGCAGAATTAGAAAAAATTCTTAAATTATTAATTACATTACTGGATATTACTCATGGCACTATATTTAACTAGTTGTATTTTAATATTTTTTTTGAATAGTATAAAAACATTTACCCTTGGAGCCCAAAATCCTCTTTTATATATTACAACAATTGAACAAGCGCACCTTAATGCGTTCGTACATCCATTTTTTGATTATGCTCTGATATCTACCGAAAATACATTACGAATATGAAGAAATTCCATCCAGAAAGCTTATTAATAAGAACCGAGCTGATGGTGTTGGGTTACGGTCAATAATAATAAATTCCAACTTGTATATTTCGAAGGATCAAGTCCTGCTGAGAAGAAGGCGGAAAAGGAAATTACTGACAATTTGAAAATTCTATATTCAGAAATTGTAAAGGAAGTTAAAAATCGTAGGCGTTTGCCAAAGAAGTTGTTCGTATTTGGTGGACAGAGTTTTCGATTACGTATTCGTTATATTACCTTAAATGAGGCTGATAACGCCAATCTACCACGGGACTTTTCAGAGATGCGAGATTTTGTATATTTTTACGAATCTATATTTTTTGCATATTGATTATTGTTGGTTCAGGACGTTATAAAATCATTTGATGAAGCAAGATACGAACAGAGACCCTCACGTCTTTGTCTTTCATATGCAGAATGCCATTCTTCAACTAGATGAATAACCATATAAATATTTCATTTATAATAGAATTAAATATGGTCATAAATCGTTGATCACATGTACGTTACAATTTGTAACGCCGATCACTTTCGCCAAGAAAAAATCATAATAAATCAGAAA